CGATCAATTCTTTGCTGTTCTATTTTCATGTGAATTTGTTATTACACGTTGATATTCTTATAATTGTATTGAAAAACTGATGGTGCATGGCATCGTATCTTAAGGCAAATTGCTGGAAATTAGTTTTTTTAAAAACGGCTTTAAACAAATTAGTTTTTTGAGAATTTTGAAATTTTTGAAAAAAATTACTTTGTGAAATACATATTCGATTTTTTTTTATATTTTAGAGCCGAAATATCGAAGCGCGGCGTCGCAGTCTAACGGAAAAACTTAAGTACAAAACCCATTGAAATGTAAACAAAATTTGTTCTTATTAAAATTTCTATAAAATATCTTATAATTTGATATGCATATGTCTAATGATCATTATTGACCGCCAAATGGCATTATTCCTTACTTTTTTATTAAATCTTTGGAACCGCTAGACCTGCTTTTCCAAAAATTTAATCAAATCTTCACTATAAATAGAATGTTTTTTGAATCATTCAAATCGGTTGATCCGTATTCCCAAAATCGTTGACGAAAATTTGTATCAGCATACATACACGCGCGCACACACTTACACACATATACATCCATTTTTTCTTACTTACCCTACGTGTTTACTGTAACTTACCACACGGAAAGTTATAAAAATGGAAATTTCAAACAATAATCCATAAACCAATCCTAGACATTTACCTCAACATCGGTCAAAAAGGTGGTACAATCATCGAAAGATTGTAACGTCATAAGAAATAAAAAAATAACGAATTTAATTCACACTGTGGTTGAAACTTTTTATCTCTATAATCACATACTTATATAGTAACTGATGTAAATATAGTATCAATTGATAATACAAAATACGATCTAATAAAATTTTCTTACTGCATATGATAATAAAAATATGGCTAATTCATTTTTCAAATCCTTTAATAGATGATTACATTGGCTCAAACATATCAGTTGAGTGCATTTTGCATTAATACGAAATTATATTAAACAATATTATTATATTGTACGTCAACGTGTTATTAATCATTCATTCATTCATTCATTCACTCGATTAGAAATTTAAAAAACATGCATTGTATAAACAGAAAATCAAAATAGTTTAAGACACATATCAAGTTAATCTGTGTAATTTTTTTACAATATTATAACTAAAACTTTTGTTATTAAGTATATAGCTGTAAAAGGTAAAAACAAAGTATTACGTGCAAGCTTCCTACCTTAATGATTCTTGTAGAAGGTCCATGCGCAACATGTTCCAAAATGATTTTTTCAAACTTATTTAACAGTGAAAAACTGTTAAAGTATCATATTGAATTTGGTAATGTATTATAACTTTAATGTTTTGAAGGTATTTTTCCTAAACCCAAATAGCGTCTACTGGCATTCCTCAGATATTGATCTGTAAATATTGATCATATAAAATTTTAATGTAAGAGGAATAATATCGTAAGTTGCACGTGGAGAAAATCAAAAACAATATTATGAAAATGACCAACAAGAAAATATTTTTATAATCAAGTAATTTATATTTTATTTTCATTTTAGTATTTTAAATAAAAATCAACCATAGACAATTTTTCTCCATAAACATAATCATAATGCATAAGCATTAGTTAACACTATAAACTCGCTTTGTTCAAATATTTAAGAAACCACTTTTTTTAATCTATTTTCTTCCTACCTATTCCTATTAATTGCACAATTGAAAAACCTATTACAAATTGAAAAATTACATAGATTTAATAGCAATATATCACAAATATATCGTACGATATATTAAATACGATAAAATAAAATATGATAAAATAAGTATGTTATCATAAGAGTTTTGTTCTTTTATTAAATTTATATACCCATACATAAATAAATATGGATATATCAATAAACTATAAAAAATAAACCATTGTTGAAAGAAAACCTGGTTAAATTATATATATATATATATATATATATATATATATATATATATATATATATATATATATATATGCTATATGAGTGGCAAATACTGTAAGAGTTCAAAAATATTTTACATAATTGCAGTCATTTTCTTAATTTAGAATTAAAGAAAATAATAGTCAATAAGATTATTTCGTGATATTATTTAATAAAATATATGGCATAATTTATTCATACATGCAATGCTGTTGGAAGTGTCTTTAATATGTTAGACAATTTGAAATATTATTAATAATTTTAAAGTACGAATTTTCAAAATATTCTCTCAAATGAAATCAATGTTTAAATCCCAATTTATTTTACTTACAATTAGATACTTTATAATTTAATTCCCATAAAAAATTATCTATATATTGATAGTGATTTTGACGCACAAGTCTGAGACATGGCCTTATAACTGTAGATACATTGAAATTTATATTATTTAATTTTTATTCAACATAAAATCATCACAGACTTATGCAACTGAAGCAGTTTTGATCCTGTGAAAATAATAGCAATAAAAATTAAATTCCAGTTAAAAATTACTAAGTCAATTAAAAAAAAAATTGGTAAAAACACTATTACTAATGTGTATATTTAATATGTATTTATGTAGATTGGAGTGAATATTGAATTTTGTATAAATACTAATAAACATTTTAGTAATAGTGACACATGTCCATATATATGAAAAATAAAATAGTAAATAGTACTTACAATTACTAAGATTAACTAATTGTAAGTACTATTTACTATTTTATTTTTCTTTTCACTCCAATTCAATTGTTTTTAGTTTTTATTTTATTTTTAGTTTCCACTGAATGAAAGCTAGGATTATAGCCGAAACGTATGGATTTAAAATAAATTTTTGAAAGAAATTCATGTTTTTATTGATGTTATGCCCGATTACTAGCTTTGTTATATATTATTACATAATATATATATATATATATATATATATATATATATTAAAATTGTTTTTGGGCATCCATCCAGTAATTAAAAACATTTTTATTGAAAAAAAATATTTTTATTCAGAAAACATATGTTTCGGGTCTTGATTTGACCCATCTTCAGTGCATACAAATAAATTGAAAAAAAAAAAAACAAAAATCACATGAAAATTGCACAAAAAAATTATGAAACACAAATTCCATATGGAATAAGCTTTTTTATAATAAAATATATTATTTATTTTAATTTTTATTTTACAATTATTTTAAATTTATCATAACTCGACGTTTATCAACTTGTGTTTCATAATTTTTTCATGCAATTTTCATGTTATTTTTGTGTTTTTTTTTTCAATTTATTTGTATGCACGGAAGATGGATGCCCAAGAACAATTTTATCATATTATTTCACCATCTGAAGAAAAACCTCTCGCTATATATGTATATGTATATATTATTATATACATTTAAAAATAGTAGTCAATCATACATGTACGTTTGTGATAAAAACTATGTATAAAATATGAACTGATTTTACTGTATATAAATAGAGTATTTCTTAAACCTTAACTATTAATCTATGTAAAACGTAACACTGGGATGAGTGCAAATAATATAGTCTCTAAATCATTATAATTACTTTGAACAGAGAACAAATTACTCACAATTACATTGTTGTAATCATACACATAAAGAATAGCATGCTAATAAAAACACAGAAACTATGCATATTAGTTGTATGTATGTATATGTATATATTCATACATATTTCAGGTTAATGTGTTTTCAATATTATAATAATAATAATAATAAATCATAATTATGCATATAATAATTGATTCATTAAAAGTATCATAAAGACTTCACCCAAGTGCAAAAAAAATATAATAACTTTTTCCAAGAATATATTTAATGAGAAAATATTTATTAAAATATTAAAATGTTCTTTGTCTGCACAAGTACAATATAAACTTTTTAAATTAATGGTATTAATTAAAAGGTCTGCAAAAGACATAAATTTCAGTCATTTGAAAATTTTTGTGTAATCTCTCAATCCAAAATTGTGAAGAATAGCATACCTATTTAATTATAATTATAAAAATTCAATTATAAGATAATCAAATATCTTGCACACATGTTAAAAACTACTTACATAGTGTAAGAAACGTTAGATATGCCAGTCATAGATAAAAGAAGAGTATGTCAGTAAAACAAAATTAAGAAAGAAATCATATAAAGTAGCAATTGAAAATCTCAGAGACCTAATTGAGAATTAAACAGAAACAACGGCTTAAACGTTTTTTATTAATATTAAAATTGTTTTACTATTAAATCAGTAGTAAAAATAATATATTTATGAACTGAAATTATAAACAACTTGTGCAATTTTTCCTTAAGCCTGACATAGTATGATAGAATGACATACTTTAAATTTTGCTGGAATGTAACTCCGTGTTAAATGTGACCTTACTTTACAAATTTATTTAAAAATTGGCATTATAATAAACTTTTCTTCAAAATTTAGCTAGATTCAAAAATTATTTGGTACAATACTTGCTTTTTGAGTTAACTTGATTTATGAAAGCTAATTAGAAGCTGATTGCATAAAATATACTAAAATATCATCTATCATGCTATATAGCAAGCAAACAAATGTATTTTTTCATAACTTTATTATAGTCTTCTTTGGAAGCAGGACGGATTTCATAATTTAAGTATGAATGAAAGACATATGAACTGAATATATCTCAATTAACAAATGCTAATCATTGCAACTCCCTCAAAAAATGCAACAGTATAAGCCCTCCCCCCCAAGAAATGCATCAGCAATAAAAATTAGTAGTATATATCTAAACCACTTCAATATTTAATCATAGATATATTCAATTCATTCATTTAGTTAAACTCATCCAAATAGTGATGCATCAAAATCAAATATTTGAGAGCACAAGGACAAGAACACATATGGGATAATAGAGAAACATACAATTCTCTAAACGATTATTCTACGTCACCAAAATGACATAGCAAAATACCACAAAATTAAAGTAAGCTATTTAAAAAAAACATGATTTTTACTATTTACAATATTAACTTTACTTTGTTCATTGTTATCATTAAGAAATATTATTCCACTGCTACATCAGAAGACTAGCCAAGTTGAAAGCAAAACTTACAACCAGCTTCATAAGTCATTTCATCGTAAACGTACCTTAAATAAATGCATTAACAATTAAACTTGGAAATAATCATCGACTGCATCCGAGTAGATTTTCTTAGAAGGCTGAGTTTTTTCACACTGATATGTACTAAGTGTGCCATGCACAGAATTAGGTGTGTTAATACTTTTAATAGAATCATAGTTTGTTTCATTATCAGATGCTAAATTGCATTGTGTCACTGATTCATAATTATGCTCCAATTCACATTTAATCTCATTTTGAATTTGATTACTTGAATCATTAATACTAGTCAGGTCAGGTACTGTAGAATATGCATCAATATCAGATTTAATAATTCCTGGCAAATTTAACTCTTCATAATTTGGATCACCATCGAGGCAACTATCACTTATGTTTTGACTAATCTCGGAAGATATATTTGATTTAAAAGATTGTAGAATCTCTGGTACGGTATTATAATTTTCTCTATAAATACTATCATTAATATTTTTTATACAAGAGTTTGTATCTTGTAATTTTTTTTTATCACATATAGTTTCATAACCGGGATCTTTCTCTTCACTAGAAAGTCTAAGATTATTAATAGATTTTGTCTCACTATTTCTACTTTTATTTAATATTATTTGTGGCAGTAAGTTTGAACTGGAACCATGAACTTTGTTAGATACAGATTCATCTACTTCATTATCAAACACTAAATTAGTATCAGTTCTATTATTCAGATTATCTAGTTTTTCATCATTTTTTAACAACATCAGCTTATGTTTCTTAACCACCTTGGCATACATTCCTTCTAAATCTGTAATAGGCCCTGTAATTTCAGATTCATCAGATAAAATTAAATTCGATAGTTTCAAATTTTGATTCGTGCTATCTCCTAATGATTCCAATGGACTCATGGTGGAATTAACATTACCATTAACTAATACATCAGATTCACTTTGAGAAATAGTTTCTACTATAGATACTGGATCCTGGTTATTATAAAAATCTGTTTTATTATTATCATTATAACTCATTTGCTTGTTCATTACAAAATGTAAGGGGTTGGAGGGTGGAAGAGGTAATGGTGAATTTGCCTGACGTTTCATTGGTTTGGGAGACTCTAAATTTCCAACAGATGATACACAGCTTGAAGAAGAATCTAAAACATATATTTACATAATATTAATCTCCTTGTGTCATGCCAGTTATGAAATTTTTAAAATAATTGATAATCAAGTTACACATCAACTAAAATTTAAATCAAGTATGCAAGTATAATTTTATAAGAGCAAGTCTTATTTAACTAAAATAAAATATAAAATATAGGTAATATATTTGTTAAGTTTGTATCAAGTATAATAAAAAAGACCTATAAATAAATAATGAATTAAATTAAAGTTATTAGTTGAAAGTTAGTAAGTAAAAAATGTTATAAATGACACATAACAATCTCATTTTCCATGTTTTTTTAAATACATAATTTAATGCCTAGATCCAGACCTATTGATTATGAGAGTGTTCTTAAATGAATTAAATGAAAAGGCTACATATACTGACCTTGTCTAGTGTGAAGTTGCAGAACTTGTGTAGTGTTACTGCAATTTGGTACGGTACTTCCTCCTGCATCTTTCACTTCAGGCAAATTATTATTCAGAGATACTTCCGGCTTTATAATTGATACATGTGCTGACGGAACTGGCTGATCGTTTACTATATTATCATTAGTAGGAGGATGAATTTGTGCATATGTTTCAGAGACACTAGTATAAACTTCAAATGGTGAAGAAAATGGTTGTTCTTCAATAGCAGCATACATTTCATCTATAATCAATCCAAATTAATTAAGTAAATTGAAAATAACTGAAAATAATTGAATCTGCTATTAACTGGTGGCATCTGAATTCTGAACTAATAAATTTGAATGTGAATAGATATGAAAATTATAACAATACACAAACCTGAATCATCAGAAACAGTAGTATAATGTGAATCAATTAGTTCTTGATTTGATCTTGATGGATTTTGATTAGCATGAACTAGAATGTTGACAAGAGGTTCCCTCACACTGATGCTTGTATATCCCTCTACAAATAAAAGTTTTGTAATGTAGATTATTAGTGTCTAAATTTTATTTTTAAACTTGTGAGTATTTATTTAATTGGGTTAAACAAATTGGATAACATTTTCAATACCAAAACAATGCTGAAAGTGAAAAATCTGAAAGTAAATTACTGGCCAGTATCAAATCTTCTAATTAAATAGTAACCATAAATATCAGTTTTAATTAAACGTGGTAGTACATTGAATCTTGGTGAGCCAATACCATTTTTGTAAATCTATACTGTTGAAAATTCCAACTAAAATTTAAATGATGAAATACTAATTAAACTCAAGATGTAGAATTAATTTACTTGATGAATCTTGGGAATCACCACTAAAATGATTAGCTTGAATAGGTGGAGTCATGTATGGCAGTTCTTGATTTGCTGATACTCTTCCAGCAATAGCCGGTGCAGCAGGTATATCTAAAATAAGTAATAATTTGATTTGTTAATAATATATTATAAAGCTAATATATATATATATATATATATATATATATATATTTACTTTATCTTCTATTAATATTTATAATATATCTAACAAATATTTTTTTTAACTGTTTATAAATGGTTTTTAGATTTTGTTAAAATATGCTTAATGATGATCAAACATACAGTGTCAAAACGTATACATAGTTCAATTATTTATTGTCTATTACTTTGACTGTTCAGCTGCAAATTAACATTTCAAGAGTATATATATATATATATATATATATATATATATATATATATATATAGATATATATTTAATATAATATAATATAATAAGTGTTGTGTATGAATTTGGCCAGCAATAATTTGTTTTTATCTTCAAGTTATACTTTGTGCTCTACAAGATAAATTTCAATTGCATTATTGTCATGTGCATTAAATAAATGAATATATATTTTTATATAATATAACAAGACTAAGCTAATCACAAGGCTCAATTATCATATTTGGCAAAACATTATATCATTATATGTATGAAGTTATTTAAAAAGCAGTAGAATTATGCACAAACAAGTAGAAATAAATAGTAAATATACATAAAAACAATCAAATTGCTAATGCTCACTAAAACTGAGTTTCATAAATTTGGTAACTCTCAAACATATTTTGTATTATAATTAAAAAATAATAATAAAATTCTTACCAACTATATGATCATCATCAGCTGCACTGTGATTTGGCATTGTATCATTATTATTATTTTGAACACTAGATGCTATGATAATGGCTGAACTCATCGATGCGGTTTTAGCTCGTGAATTCTGTACTTGGGCATATGGATGATCAGGAATTTGTACCTATGGTTGGTATGAAAGTAATAAAAATTATTACTTCTTACATAGACAAGTACTGCATAATCATTTTCAGTTTAGGCTATAGACATAAAGAAACCAAAATTATTCTTGCAAAGCAATAAAATAATATACAAGAAAAACAATAATATATATTGAAAATTGATAAAAGATCATTAGAACACTCATCACACATTTTAAAAATTAATGAGTAATACAAATTCATTCAACCACTTTAATGATAGTTAAAAACCAAATTATCTTAAAATCCCCTCCAAAACATTGGCAAAAAATTGTTTCAAATAGTTTTGTACATATAATTGCGTTGTAATTAACAGCTATTAATAATATTTTTCTGTCACACTTTCGCCAGAAATCAATTTGTTTTACAAGTTTAAAACGAGTTTAAGATAACCAAAATTGAAAAACATGATAATTAATTCAGTATAAATATCAATTAGGTTATATGCTATGTGTAAGCTATTTTCAATTTGCACACAATAATCATATGCCATGTTTAATTAATTTTAGTTTTATGTACAAGAATTTTAACAAAACATATATATATATATATATATATATATATATATATGTAGTGTGTGCATACTAGTTATTTTATTATCTAAATATTCTTGGCTTAGAAAATTATTCAAACAAAAAGTTATTGAGCACATTGAACAAAATTTAAGGCACACTCTCATCAAAAAGAAAGATTTCAATGGTTTTTCTTTTCACTATGATATAACACAAATTTTACAGAACTATTTATGTGAGAACCAATGATTACAGAAAATTTTTGACCGAATTCACAGATTCATATATATTGAATAGTATTTATTTGGATTCTTTTAAGTTTTGACTAACTGGATTCCCAATATATTAGGTTCAGTAAAGTGACTCATTTCATTGAAGAATGTGTAAATTGATTGTGCATACCCTATTATATGGATGTTCAAAATTTGAAACAGTTGCATAGGAGGATGTTGCATCATCTTGTTGATGGTCAAGATTGTGATGAGTTGTGTTTCTATTAGAACTACTCTGTACCTCCGGTCTCAGTGTAGCTGAAAAAAAGTTATTATTTTTTATAAAAAAACAATAGAATTAAGCTTACGTTTGTACAAATAAGTATATAGTTTAATAAGCAAACATAATCTTTTACAAATTCTGGTAAATTTAATTGCTCCAAAAAAAAATTTTTAATGAACAAATAAGACATTAAATAACTAAAACTAAAATCATTCTGGAATTAAATCACTTTTAAGAGATAAACAATTATTTCAAAATAAGATTTTGCAGGAGAATTATTTCAAATATTGTAATTTTAAAACAACAAATAAAACGTACATCCAGATTCCAGGAACACTTTATCACCCACAGTTGCATATAATTCAGTCACGACTTCAGGCACCTCTGAAGTAGCATGCTGTGCATTACTTTCGGAACATATTGGAATGTCTGGAAGACTTCTGTGTGGATTCGCATTGATCTTCAATCTATTTTATTTGAAATATATCAATATTAAAATTATTTAGAAAATAGATGATTATTTTCAATAAAAAGCACACACATTATTATTTTGCACTAGTGAAAAACAAGTGAAAGAATTAGTCGCATTATTAACTGGAAATACTTTAAAAATCTAAGAAATAAGCAGCAGTTGTGAAATCATATATTATATAACTTTTCTGTTTACATTTTTTTTTACTTGATATATAATTTTGGTAATACATTTCAAACTATTTACATTGATATTAAAACAAAATTACAAAATCAAAATGCTGCATCAATGTAATCGTTCTTTACTTGCTTTGCTATATTTATAAAGTTCTGCATACCTATGCTATTTTTATTATTTTTTAATGTGTGTTGAAATATTTATAAGCATAAAATATTCAATAATATTTCTGCTTACCTAATTTTCGTCAGTTATATATTCACGAATACGGTTAAGACGACGCTCCCGTAAAAATTACGATCATTTATGTGTTCAAATTGCCATTTATGGTAAAATTGTTATTAGTTAAAAGCGTTCTCTCGGATAAATAACATTCCGAGATATTGTTGTTTAAAATAACACATTTATAGATTTCCTTCACATTTATCAATTTTTGTATACGAAATATGTAATAAACTGACAATTAAAAATAACTTAGAGCTGTAAAATGTTCGTTTTGTCTCTCAACTCCATCGGCATACAAAATTTTATCAAAATTCCTGGCGAGTAAACCTGAGGCTGTACTCATAAGCTAGAATTCCTTTAGAAACAACTATACGTTGGAATACAACTGAATCGTAACTAATGCGTATACGATTTGAGTTGAAAAACAAATGAATGGAGATAAATCTGAACGTAATCAATGTTTGCCATATTTATAAAACAAAATAGTTATTAAAAGACAGTGCGTAGAAAACATTTTAGTGTTCGCTCGCAACTGATACAGAAATAATTGAATATTCTCAGCCTTAAAGCAGAAAGGAAATAATACTTCAAGGTAGGCTTTTTATTGTAGTTTAAAGTAAATTTTAAATAATTATAAAAAATAATCGATTATCTTTCAAGGCGCTTTCATCATGAGCATCTCGCGCTTATTGAAATTAAAAAGACCTAACATGACCAAACAGAGCATCCGCCCTCCAACATCGGCAGATGTTTTTCACATCATGCGCAATCCTACATTTTGTCGTTTTCATCAGCCTGTGTATGAATTTAATTTGGTCCTGCAACCACCATCTCCCAACCAAGTCAGCGATATTGATACTTTCTTAAGGGGTAAAATTATTCCATTCCATTTCGACCCAAACGGATGCTGAGGGCGATTTATTGATTTACCAAGATGATAAAAATAAGTTATTGGAAACCAATAATCTAATTTGTCAAATAATTAAGAAATTGACCATTTATGCATAAATAATTAATTATTTAGTATTCATGCGCCCTTCACTACTTACATAGTAGAATTGTGCTACATATGAACTATGACAAACTGTTTATCCTTGATGAGGTAAATAAAAACAATTAGAAAATTAATCTGTTTCTATTCAAAAATTAATTAATAAATAATAATTAGTTAATCATCAATAGAATGTACAATAAAATGAATCCAGACTATCAATTGCACATCTCTAATAATACACTAAACATAAGTAAGCAACACAATTTTAAAACTAATTCTGATAAATTCTAAAAGAAAACTGCTTGAAATGAAAGTCTGATTTGCTAATTTTATGTTTATTTCACGTTTCAAGTCATTCTAAACTATTTGAATAATGTGCGTATGACGAAAAATTTTGCCTGTCGACAGCATGTTCTTGAAAACTGTAGCTCTAATTGTGAAAATTTCTCTTGCTAAAATTCGATAATGGTTTAACAGTCATATTAAAAATATTTCACCAATGTTTTCCCAAAAAGTACCTAATATTGAAAAATTAGTGCTAGTTATTTGTCATGTGTGAAAATAGAGTAGGTTTTTTTTTGTTAAGTTTTTAATTCATAACTTCCCACTTGATCCTTTTGGTAAAAATTGCAAAAGTAAGAAGTAAGAAGTATGAAAGTATGTAAGTTCAATGAACGATTGAACAAATGCATATAAATATTTACGAAACAATTCATCGAATATGAAGGATTCAATAGAAGCTACATTTTTGTTACAAAATGTTTGGGTTCCATAACTCTATTAAACATTTTCAACTCACTTTTATATTTCTAATAATTTATTTTTAAGTGAAACTTGTTTTTATTCAGAAATATATGATACTGCACTAACCATGTAAAATTATCACACAAAAAATTATTCACAAACAATAGATACTATTCATTTAACAACTCAATTACTACAGCATTTATATATTATTGTGTTGCAAACTCAATAATGCAGAACATATTAAGGGGGTATTCTACTGTAGAATTTTGAAAAAATCGAAAAAATTTTTTTTTCATATTTTCAAAGTTTAGTTATTCAAAAATATGTCATTAAAAGGATTTTTCAAAATTACTATTATTTCCCGAGTTATAGCCGTTTTAGTGACGTGGCCTCGGTTCGGGTCCGACTTGTCTCAAAACTTTGAACGCGTTTTTCTCGGAACTACTTTTTTCGAGCTGGCGGTAAGGATATCTCGAGTTCTAATGAACCGATTTACTTCAAATTTGGAGAGAATCTTCTCTATACATCGCTTTATCGTATGGACCTTGCCCAAAACTATAACTTTTCATTTAGTATTTTTAAAAAATTCGGAATTGTTAAAAAAACATAAAAAAAAAATAATTTTTTTTTCAAACTGCCGCCATTCAAACAAAAAAATTTTGTTTAACTTATCCAAGATTCATACGATAGCGGCATCTATTATAATTAAGAATCCATCTATTTTTTATGTTTCAAATCACCAGGAGGGTTGGAATCATGTACGCCAGGACACCCTCTTTTTTTGGGAACCCCCACTTTGACTGCTCATAACTTTGTGAATTTTATTTTTTTTTAATAATAATTTTTTTATGTAATAATAAAATATCAATAAACAAATGATAAAAAAATCGATAGTAAAATTATTATTTGTTTCCTTTATACAGCGCTTCAAAAACCGGGCGAAATTCATGGCTCTACAGTAGAATACCCCCTTAATTGAACTTTAATAACCAATATTTAATTTTTTATTTGCAATGTCTAATATACGACGGTGTATCGCAAAACCTACATACAATCAATAAACCTTTTATTGAAAATGAAACAAACGATAAATATAATAAAATATAATAAAATAATCATATCAACATTATTCGGACAAGTAAAAATATGAAGATGAATTAGAAAAATTATAATATTCGATTGTTACAAATTACAATTTAAATTAACAAAATTATTTCTGGAAAAATAATCATGCTATAAAGAAAGGTATATCAAATTTAAATTATTATTAAATAGGCCTCAACTAAGAACAATAGCAATGTATAGCAAAACTAGCTCTCCATATTGTAAAGATGGTAAAAGAAGATAATAAATACATTCCATATTGTGAAGATAGTAAATGACTTTTATGACTTACGAATAGAATAATTTCGTTAGAATAAGGTATCACAAATTGTTATAAAATCTAAATTCTCAGACAGATATCCAGAATAATTATTATCATATATTTATTACATATATTATTAAATATATCAATATTATTATAGATATCATGTCTGGTTTATTACTGTAACAATTATATTTAAATAATATACTTCATAATAATACTATATTATTGACAAATTAATAGCATTGTGGAGATCATCATATGCCAAGTGTAAACTCATTGTATGTACGTAACATATTCCAAATGAACAAATTACAGCAAAATACAATTTTATTGTTTAGGAACATATGTAAAATAAATTTTGCTTTGTTTATATCTGCGGTCAAAAGAAAAATATTTAATACACATAGAAAATGTTTCTACTTAATTTACCTTTTTGTTTGATCTTCTGTTAATGTAGTATTTGGTGGTGTTGATCCTAAAAGCGTATCTTGATTTAGTACTTCATCAGGATTAGTGATCTTAACCATTCCAGTTAAGCCCAAAAAATCATTTCTGATAAAAATAAAATGGCAATTTGTATATTAGATGGCAAATTTTAAATATTGTCATGAATTGCATGTATTTTCAAAATCAAAATAACAGAAATTAACCATTATAAAGCTATATTATTTTTATATTTATATTTATTATATTTCTTTTTGGCTATATTATTTAGCAATATGAGTATATTAGCACATGCCAAATCATGTGAACATATTTTTTTCCATAATTATATTAAAGGATTACATTGATCGAATAGAGAAGGTATTAAAGTTGAGTTAGTAGAGTTATTAAAGATATTGTAAGTTATTTTAATTTTATGAACAGATATATCATTTGATACAGATGCATGAAAATCATCCATTAAGATATTCAAAGTATATCTTGATTGAGCCCATATGAAGTACCATTTAGATTCAATCTCCTAACAATGAGATATGCCTTGAATTTGAATTTTGTGCATTGCAATGCACTTTACTTACTTTGGTTCGAAGCCACAAAATCATATTATTACGAGTGCCACAGATAAAAATATTAAGGCAAATAAATTTAAGAGTCTTACTGAACTTAGCAAATGGTATAGTTCCTAAAAATATTTAAAAAATAATTTAATGATAAAGGATAAGGTTATTAAAGATATTGTATGTTATTTTGAATTCATGAACAGATCTACAAAACAGATTTGATACAGATGCAAAAAAAATCAGCTCAAATTAAATAATCAATTAAGATATCTGCAGTATATCTAAATTAGACCAATACAACGTCATTCCATTTAGACTCAACCTCTGAACAGTAAGATATGCCTCGAATTTCAATTTTGTGCATTTCGATGCGGTTTACTCACTTCTGCTCGAAGCCACAAAACCATATTATTACGAGTACCACAGATAAAAATAACAAGGCGAATAAATTTAAAAGTCTTACTAAACTTAGGACGTAGTATAATTCCAAAAATAATTAAAAAATACATCAATTATAAGAGGTACAGTTTTTAAAGTAATTGTAAGTTATTTTGATTTTATGAACAAATCTATGTGTTGATACAGATGCAAAAAAAAAACAGCTCAAATTAAATAATCAATTAAGATATCTCAGTATATCTAAATTGGACCAATACAACGTCATTCCATTTAGATTCAACCTCTGAACAATAAGATATGCCTTGAATTTCAATTTTGTTCATTTCGATGCACTTTACTTACTTCTGCTCGAAGCCACAAAACCATATTATTACGAGTACCACAGATAAAAATAACAAGGCGAATAAATTTAAGAGTCTTACTAAACTTAGGACGTAGTATAATTCCAAAAATAATTAAAAAATATATCAATTATAAGAGGTAGAGTTTTTAAAGTAATTGTAAGTTATTTTGATTTTATGAACAAATCTATGATTTGATACAGATGCAAAAAAGTCAGCTCAAATTGAATAATCAGTTAAGATATATCAGTATGTCTAAATTGGACCAATACAACGTCGTTCCATTTAGATTCAACCTCTGAACAATAAGATATGCCTTGAATTTCAATTTTGTGCTTTTCGATGCACTTTACTTACTTCTGCTCGAAGGCACAAAATCATATTATTATGAGCACCACAGATAAAAATAACAAGGCGAATAAATGTGAGAGTCTTACTAAACTTAGCAAGTAGTATGATTCCAAAAATAATTCAAAAATACATCAATTATAAGAGGTAGAGTTTTTAAAGTAATTGTGAGTTATTTTGATTTTATGAACAGATTGACAGAACAGATTTGATACAGATGCATAAAAGTCAGCTCAAATTGAATAATCAACTAATATAAGGTCACCTAAATTGGACTAATATAAGGTCATTCCATTAAGATTCAACCTCCTAACAATATGATATGTATCGAATTTGAAATTTGTGCATTGCGATGCACTTTACTTACTTTTGCTTCTGTTTTCTGCAACCGCACAAACACAAACTTATAACCAGAACAAAACATAAAGACACTGCTATAGCAATCAATGGGAATGATGTACCTACATAACTCATCATAGAAATATTTGATATTCTCATTTAATTTAATGCATCCATGGCAAAATAATTTAGGTTATGTTGACACTGATTATAAAACTGCATTATTGTTAAAAACGCACATATGTATATATAAAATATACACACATGCATTTATACGTATTACGTGTACTGGTATTAAACTACATTATATTTATGATTTATATAGAATTTTGCAACTGTTAGATATAACACAAATATGACAGATTGCATATCATAAATAATATATACAAAAGTATCAAGTGACAACTTTATTTGTATCGCATAAATGCATTGTTCGTTTCACGAAAATGTTTTTCAGTTAAGCACACCATAGTCCATAGTGTTTTTCACTAAAACAATTGTTTTAAATCTCAATATAATCGACATTATATTAGCGAACAACATATTGTACATACTACAATTACGTGCAATTGATGGTGCCACAAGTTTATAAAAGCCAACGACAGATGTCACATGTAGAAGTGTAGATGTAGCGCACGCTTGACAGCTGACAGTTGAGCGGCGCCGATATAAATGGCGCTACACACAACAACGCAACGGAGGCAACGCAAGTGAAGTTCGCAATTAACGGTTGCAAGCCTGCAGTTCCACTAAAACGTCGAATCTTGCAACCCTTGCGCTAAGGGATGAAATTTGGACAAGATAAAATCTCTCTTTTCTGCTTCCGCCTTGATCGAAGAAACTTGACCAAGATAGAAAATTGCTATATTAAAATTAAACACTTTGTGCATTTTTATAGTTATTAATAAACGCATAGTATTTTAGTGTTATTACTACAGTAGAACACCAATTATCCGAATTAATGGGGACCGGGACCCATTCGGATAATCAAATATTCGGATAATTGGAGTTTTTTTAAAAATTGCCATTGGAGAGAAAAAAAGTTACGTTTTGATATTGCACTATTTTTTTATTGAATTAAATGAAAGAAACATGACATGACAAATAAAATGTACTTAAACGAGTTAAAAAAAAAAACAAAAAATGTACAAGTTTAGAAATAAAAATCATTGTTTTGTAAACATCTCCGTCAAATCAAAACAAGCAATGTGCCTACACTGGCTTTGCTGGTGGAAGAATACTAGCGCACTTAGATTTTTTTTGGACAATTTTTTTTCTGAAAGTGATTCGGATAATCGGCGATTCGGATAGTCGAAGTTCGGATAATTGGAGTTCGGATAATCGGAGTTCGGATAATTGGAGTTCTACTGTATTTCATTGTGAATAATATATTTTATATAGACGTACCAAGTCTATATAGACGATGATTGGTACCAGGGGCGTAGCGTGCCTTGGCGGTCCCCGTATCAAAATTTGTTTGGGGACCCCCTTTATCTATCTAACTTTTGTCAATCTTTGAATTTTTCACATATGATATATATATTCTTTTTCATTGCCTTTTTTTGAAAAAACTGAATCATTAAGTGATCTTTAGAGTTTCTAAAGTTTCTGTCTCTAGGAACAAGTCTGGTAAAAGTTTCTGTCCTGAAGTTTTTACGTAATTTTTAATTAGTTTTAGTTAAAAAAATTTTTTTTTGGCAGTTGTGATTGTAACTGTAAGGGCCAAGTATAAAATGCATACTGTTATTGCGTGGGGAAAACTGGATGCTAGCCTCATAGATAAACAAGTATAAATGATGGCTAGCCTATTGCATCCATCATTGTGCATTCATTAAATAAATTTCTTAGATTTCTGTATTTAAACCATCAGGTCATGATCACATAAGATCTTTACAGTATTCAGTCGACAGTTTTCCTGAAACATTTATTAATTCTCGATTTCAAAATGTAATATACTATGTATTTTATATGCACGTGTACTAATGTATTATACAGTAATATAATACAGTTAATAATTGGGACAAGCATTTATCGAAAATATTTAAAGGTCTGACAACCAATATAGACAATAGATTCGCAAATTACGAAAAAGTTGGGTCAGTTATTCAGGATTCGTTTGGCGAGCAGGATGAAGATCATTTAGTTGATCATATTTATCTAAATCAAACTATTAAACATACGCGCCATGCAGACAATTCAAGCAACAAAACAAAACATTCTTGGCAACAAAAACAAAACGTAACTATAAAAATTCCAATTTATTAACTTATCGGATGTGCAAAAGCTTTACTAATTGAATTAATTGCAGCAGTAATTAATAATAAAGCTCACACTCAAAATAATTATTCTAGACCTTGGACCTTATTATAGGCTATGTTTGAAAACAAAGGTATAATTAATTTGAAAAATATTATGAATATCGTATTCGAAAAGTACATACAAAGTTTGAAAAAAAATTAAAATATTTTGCAGCCGAAATAAATTCTCTTGAAGCGTTAGCTTACAAGTTGAAGTTCAATACCTTTCGATAACAAAAGGAAAAGCTAACTACGTCAAAATTATTTAATTTTTTGAAAAATAATTGTTTTGCTTTAGAATCTTTATCAATTTCTGCTTACGCTCGTTCGGAGGCCCCATATTTTTGATACGGCGCTAGCTACGCCCCTGATTGGTACCATGTATAGATAAAAAATTAGTATCTGATATGTGATAATGTGATCGGTACTGTTTTTGGAAGAAAAGTCGCAAAACTACGACTATTTTAAAATTTCAAATTATTTATATAATTTAAAGCTTTAGAAATGCCGTATTAATATAAAGATGATAAATATTTCATTTTATGAATGCAGTACAAAGCAAAGTATTTTTCACAAACGAGATTTGACGGTTTATACTTGAACGAGCCAGTTTGTGGAGGCGAAAAAGAAAGTTCGATATGAACTGATTGCAGGTCCAATACAGTACTGAATTCGATGGCAGTTGTTTTATTAATCCAGTGTCAATATGCTTCGTAAACAATGAACAAATTGTGAAAAGATGGGGATAATCTTAACTCTTGACCTGTTGACAATATACATAATAACCTTATGTATTTATTTGTTTATACTAATTTCACGACCAAAAAAAGTATTCTGAAGAGTATGATAATGTATTTAATTTAATTCAATTTAAATTAACATCATTCTGATAAAGATGAAATTCTTGAAAGTTTCGTTTCAAATAGATGGCTTGAATCTAATGTATAAAATTTTATCACTAGTCAGATCATATGATAAACACAGCATTTGACTTGTATTATTTAGCAATATAAGTAATTTTGATTAAATTAATCGAATCTAGAATTAATATCAGTGAGAACTAACAACAGATCATACAATTTGTGTGATGTTGAATATAGTTTAAAAAACCTTTGCCAAGCTTTCCAAAATACGAGAAATTTTATCGCGACTGCAACGAAATCAGAAAATCAAAACCACAAAAACGTATCATATGATATGACAAGTATACATATCATAATACAAGTAATAATATCCATTATTACTAGTATCCGCTACAAATAATAATACTAACAATAAGGTAAAGGTGATATTACTTAAAAGCTAAAGTAAAAACTAGTATTTCTTCAAATTTATGCAATTATATTCGTGTAGATCTTTGACTAATATGCCCTCTATTTCTAAAAAGAAAACAATATTTATGTAGTTATCTTTTTATTATTCTTTTTTTAACGCACGCATCAACTTCGCAAAGAGGTTTTCCTCTGAGCTACATTTCTTAAATTGTATCATTTACTCTTTTCAAAAGTATGCATACTTTTACAGACAAAAAATATAAATTCATTTTTTGTATACTTTTACGGAAAAGATGCATTTCTATTAAATCATCAAATAATTCACACAATAAATCACAAAATAAATCGACAATTTCATAATTCTTGTTAAATTAGATTGTCGGTTTCCAATAACTTATTTTTATCATCTTGGCAAATCAATAAATCGCCCTCAGCATCCGTTTGGGTCGAAATGGAATGGAATAATTTTACCCCTTAAGAAAGTATCAATATCGCTGACTTGGTTGGGAGATGGTGGTTGCAGGACCAAATTAAATTCATACACAGGCTGATGAAAACGACAAAATGTAGGATTGCGCATGATGTGAAAAACATCTGCCGATGTTGGAGGGCGGATGCCCTGTTTGGTCATGTTAGGTCTTTTCAATTTCAATAAGCGCGAGATGCTCATGATGAAAGCGCCTTGAAAGATAATCGATTATTTTTTATAATTATTTAAAATTTACTTCAAACTACAATAAAAAGCCTACCTTGAAGAATTATTTTCTTTCTGCTTAAAGGCTGAGAATATCTAGTTGTTTCTGAAACAGTTGCGAGCGAATACCACAATGTTTTCTACACACGGTCTTCCAGTAACTATTTTGTTTTATAAATATGGCTTGATCACGTTTAGATTTATCTCTATTCATTTGTTTTTCAACTGATACGATATACACTTGTATAAATCGTATACGCAATAGTCATTAGACAGAAATCTAGTGATGTATGGCATCGTGCCTTAAGGCAAATTGCCGGAACTTCCCGTACCGTAATGAAATATTCGAGGATTTATATATATATATATATATATATATATATATATATATATACATTATTTTCATATCTCAGACAGACAGAATTTTAAATGTTTTTAAATAAAATATTTATTACAAATACTGTAACTTATGTTTACAGAAAAGTGAATAAACAAAACTTAATAAATCGAATTTCAAATGGACATTGTATATTATTTATAAGAATTATATATCTGAATTGCAAAGTTAAAATTATTTATTTGAAGTATATAATTAAGCTTTAGAACTTCAGCTGGAAATAAAATCAAAATTCGAATAATTTTCGATATCCAATAAATTTTTTTTTGAACATTTTTTTCCCAAGAGCAATCATTTCGTCAATACACGCAGATGTTTTTCGAATCATTCAAATCGTCGAATCATCGAAATCGTCGACGAAAATTTGTATCCGAACATACACATACATACATCCACTTTTTCTAAGGTATACCAAATTATTCAGAAACCTTTGAAATTTGAATAATACAAAAAACAACAACAAAAAAGATGAAGAACTGATCAAATTTGCATGAAGGCAGGTCTAGCGGTTTCGGAGATATAGTAAAAAAAAGTAAAAATTTGGCGGTCAAAAATGATCATTAGACATATGCGCATTAAATTATCAGATATTTTATAGAGATTTTAAC